AGATTCACCACATGTATGTACCTTCATTTCATATTCACACAGTCCGGTATTCCTTTATATATAGTCGGGTACATACCTAAACCTATCATTCTTTGGTTATCTTATGGAGGGAGAGGGAAAGAGGGAGATAGAGAGTGAAGGAGAAAGAGACAGAGAGAGTAGATCAACATGTGCACCCAGTGTGTGTGCACATATATACGTGCATAGTAATTATTTTATGGTTACGCTTTAGCATGCGCCTTTCTTTATGTGCGCTTTTATCTTGACACCAGCAGAGAAAGATACGCCAGTCTATCGACACGCTAACGCAGTATGGTGCTGCCACCTCTGGATAAAAATGTGCTGCATTTGCAACATTTTTATACAACTTCATAATCCACACAGGAATGCAAATATCCACATCAGCATAAAGTGAGTGTATGGAAGAGCGGTGACAACATTGGATCAATAAGAAAAATGCGTACCATCACAGTGCCTTGCAAGATCTTTACACGATTTCTATAACAGTGTCTCACACGCGAATATAATTTCCTGCCAAATCTTTGCAATTCGATGTAGGCACCACTGTACAGTACACCCAGCCACGTGTAGGCTTTGAATCAGTCTACGCCTGCCCCACAAATAACAGCTTTCAGCGTTGTTAGTGTTACGCCGAGCTGCAGACCGACAATAATAACAAGCCGAGCGTCCGGCCCCGGAGCAAACATGAGGGCTGCGTGAAAAACGTGGGGTTGGGCGACACTACAACGCATGCATCCCGTGAGTCATCATCCTACATCGATCAGCAGCAGCTAGCTACTACTAGCTACTGCTACTACAGTCGACACCCGTGCCAGCGGTGAACAAACTTTCTCCGTGCAAAGACCGAGGTGGCGCCACGTTTCGGCGACACGCAGAGGCGAGTCGAAGGATCGCGACGATGTAACGGTAGCGACGCTCGATCACGAGCGATCGATCATCGAAGGATCGCGCGGGGGTTCGCGACGATGTAACGGTAGCGACGCTCGATCACGAGCGATCGATCATCGAAGGATCGCGCGGGGGTTCGCGACGATGTAACGGTAGCGACGCTCGAT